TAAAGATAAAGTGTCAGCCTTACACATGCCATCTAATAATCACAAAAGACAATATCGAATAGTTATATACAATTGGATTTCATCGCCTCTAACAAGGCTCCATTGATAGATACCATCAGATCATGAGGATGGAGTCTGATGGTATCCAACACTGGGAAATTGCTGGCAGGTAAACAATATTAATAATATCCGAGAATCGAATCCTATTGTATGCCTACTGCGCAACATTCTTCGATACTTTAGGGATCTCATCAGATTCGATTCCGTGACTTCGACCTGAAACAATTTAATTGTCCTTCTATGACATTTTCGGCACACCTTACACCTATAGCCGAGAAAAAACTAGCAAAAAATGGAAGTCTTCCCTTTGACACGTTACAAATAAGTCTGCAGATGTTTTTGAAACCTAAATAAAACCTTATCTAGTCCTTTTTACACATGTTTTAGACATTCCGTTAATACTATTAAAATTCCAATGACTAGATACAGCTAGTCTTCTCATCAACGTTAGTTGATGTACACAGCTGAGGTCTATCAAACGTTTATCATCTAAAAAACAATGAAGTGCTCTACAAGACATTTCCGGAGTTCTTCATAGTTTATATGAGCGATCATTTATTCAAAGAATCTGAATCAACAACAGGATCGTTTGTATCACGTTAAATTACTACCATCAAACACACATATGACGTCTTCTTAACTCAGAACTGATAGCAAATACCATGCCTAGGTGCCGTTAAAAAATTACAAAGAGCATCCATTGGAAGCTCTTGAAAAGCTACAGAGAGTATTTCCGAATAGTCTTTGAAAAGTTACCAAGAGTACCAGTGGCGTACGCAGAAATTTTCCAAGGGAGAGGTCCAAATTCTCAAGGAAGGAACCCGCAGTGGAGTTTTTCAAAAATTTGTACCGTAGTACTTTTTTTACCCATACCCCCACAAAGAACTTGTCTTCAAAGGGGGACCCGGGGCCCCTTGGCCCCCTGCGTATGCCACTGAAGGGCACCCCATGGTAGCCCTTGAAGAGTTACCTAAAGTATGCCATGGTAGCCTTTGAAAAGTTACCTAAAGTACGCCATGGTAGCCCTTGAAAAGTTACAAAGCATATCCCATCGTAGTCTTTGAAAAGCTATCAAGGGTACCCATAGGCAGCCCTTGAAAAGTTACAAAGAGTGCTCCCTGGTAGCCCTTGGAAAGTTACAAAGAGTACCTCCAGGTGGCCCTTGAAGAGTTATCAAGGGTATCCTAGGTAGCCCTTGAAGAATTATCAAGGGTACCCTAGGTAGACCTTGAAACCTCACCTACAGTACCCCATGGTAGCCCTTGAAAAGTTATCAAGAGTATCTCTTTGTAGCCCTTGAAAAGTTACCAAGAGTACCCTCTGATAGCCCTTGAAAAGTTACAAAGAGTGCCCCCTGGTAGCCCTTGAAAAGTTACAAAGAGTGCCCCATGGTAGCCCTTAAAAAGTTATGGTAGTATGCAAGGTAGCAGTCTCGAATTGTTCTGCATATACGCATTAGCATTAAAAATAATGCTAAATTAATGCTAACGCCTAAGCATTCATTAACAATAATGCCATTAATGCTAAAGCATTAGCATTAACTGTTCATGCTAATGCTTTTACATTAGCATTATTTTTAACTTAATGCTAATACGACACCCCTAGTATGCACTGGCTCAGTGAATATTAGTGTCAGTGTAGACAGTTCGGTCACTGTCAGGTGTCACTGCAGACAGTTCGCTCAGTGTCAGTGCGTCACTGCAGACAGTTCGCTCAGTGCCAGTGCCTCACTGCAAACAGTTCGCTCAGTG